CAACCTATGGGTCGTGACCCCATTTGGGGTCGATCGACCATTTCACGGGGGTCGCCAAGCAAGGCTGTCCGCCATTTTTTTCCCCTTTTCCGGCGGGTGCCTTACCTCCCTTGGGCTGGGCCAGCTGGTGGTCGGCCTGCTCCGTCTCTGCCGCTTGCCAGCTACGCCTCGGCTGGCGCAGGGGGCGGAACCACGCATGCGCAGCGCTCCCAGGCAGGGAAAGTCCTCGACTTACGACCGGTTGGGTAGTCCTCGACTTACGATCGGTTTAGTCCTTGACTTACAACCGGTTTAGTCCTCGACTTACGACCGGTTGGGGGTCGCGGCATTAAAAAGGTTGAGAACCACTGGTTTAGCATTACAGGTAGTTCTTGACTTACAACGGCTCTGAAGAATGAGCATTTTTCACAGTTGTAACCCTTGTGGCCCTGTGGTGGCATGATCAAAGTTCAGACGCTGGGCAACCGACTCGTATTTATGACGGTTGCCGTATCCCAGGGCCACGCGACCAATTTTTGCGACCTGCTGACGAGCAAAGTCAGTGGGGGAAGCCACTTAACAACGAAGTTACTAACTTAACAAGCTGTAGTGATCCGCTTAACCAGGGTGGCAAGAGCTGTAGTAAAATGGGACGAAACTCACTTAAGAAAGGTCTCACTTAGCAACAGAAGTTGTGAACTCAGTTGTCGTTAGTTGAGGACTATCTATCTGCATGTCGATCAGCGGCGCCTGCAGGGTGGGGTCAAAAAAGTCAAGATGGCAGTAATCCTCTTTTTAAAATATATATATATATATATATATATAGTTTTATTTTAAAAGTTTTTTCTTCACATAAAATACAAATAGAAATGACGGCAACAGGAAACAAAAGGGGGGAGGAAAAGAGATAGAAGTGAAGGAAGAAGGAAAAAGTAGTCATAAGCCACTTTTTCAATGCCTGCAATTGGTTCTCGGATCTCTAAGGATCTCAGCGCAGCTGTGAATTTGGTCACCTTCACTCCCTGGTCATCAGTGACCTCGTCTGAGAGGCCTTGACCGAATCCCAGAGATTCCACTCTTTAACCTCTGTGCCTCCTGCTCTTCCATTTCAGAAGTCCCAGCCCCTCTCCACTCGAAGGAGGAAGCCGTGGGACACAGAGAGAAAGGCAATCACTTGGACTTTGTGAAATACGGGTGAGTCTCTTCTGGTCAGTTCTTTGCCTTCCATGCTGGGGAAATCCTCTCTCCCACAGAGATGGGCCTGTGCAGAAGAGGGATAGGATAGGATAGGATAGGGTAGGGTAGGGTAGGGTAGGGTAGGGTTAGGGTTAGGGTTAGGGTTAGGGTTAGGGTAGAGTAGAAAATAGAAAATAGAAAATAAAGAATGGAATGAAATAGAATAGAATAGAATAGAATAGAATAGAATAGAATTTAGAATAGAATAGAATAGAATAGAACAGAACAGAATAGAATAGAATAGAATAGAATAGAATAGAATAGAGAACAGAATAATAATAGAATAGAATAATAATATAGAATAGAATAGAATAGAATAGAGAACAGAATAATAATAAAATAGAATAGAGAACAGAATAATAATAGAATAGAATAATAATAGAAAATAGAATAGAATAGAATAGAATAATATAGAATAGAATAGAATAGAATAATGGAAAATAGAATAGAATAGAATAGAATAGAATGGAATAGAGAACAGAATAATAATAGAATAGAATAATAATAGAAAATAGAATAGAACAGAACAGAATAGAATAGAATCTGGAATGGAATGGAATCTGGAAGGGACCTTGGAGGTCTTCTAGTCCAGCCCCCTGCTCAAGCAGGAGAACCTATACCATTTCAGATCAGTGGCTCTCTAGTCACTTCCTTATTTGTGAAAAGAAGAAAGCCAGGATATAAATAAGTGAATAAATAAATAAAAAAAAAAAGGCTCTGAAGTGAAGCTGAGTGTTAGGGGACTACATGTAGAGGGAAGCTGATTTCTGACTCCCATGACTCAGAAAAGCTCATCCTTCTTGGCTCTTAGGATGAGGCCTGCTGGGGTGGACCATCTCCTTCGTCAGCAAGGAAGGATGACCATTTATGGCAGAGCAATCGGGGGTCAGAGAGTTGAGAAAGAAGCCACGCGGCTACAAAAGGCAGTTCTTTGGGCAGGAAGCAATGAGCACATTCTTATAAACAAACAGCGTTAATTCTGATTAAAAAAAAAAAAAAAATCTCGAGCCAAGTTGTAAAAAACAGACCTGCAGTACACAGTCTGCAGTCCTCGGCTTACAACAGTGCGTTGTAAGTGACAATTCAAAGTTAGAACGCCGCTAGAAAACGGGACTGACGACCGTTTTTCGCGCTGACGAACTTTGCAGCCTCCCCGCGGTCGTGTGATCACAATTCGGACGCTTGGCAACGGATTCATATTTATGACCGTTGCTACGGTTGTGCGATCCCCTTTTGCGACCTTCGGGCAAAGTCCATGGAGAAGCCAGATTCCTTCACAACCGTGTCACTAACTTAACAACTGCAGCGAGTTGCTTAACCGTGGCAACAAAGGTCGTAAAATGGGTCAAACATTTCACTTAACAAGTGTCTCTCTCAACGACAGAAATTTTGTGGCTGTATGTCGAGGACTCCCTGTACTATCTTGATCAAAGTAGACATAAAGTAAGGCTGCTAAACTTTGATCCAGTCCCCTACAAGACAGCGACGAAGTAACCTTAGCAATCTTTAAGAGGCGTGGACTTCAATTCCCAGAATTCCCCAGCCGGCACGGTGCTTAGGTTGAGAAAGGCTGCTCTGACCTTTTGCTGCCATCTACTGGATCATCTGAATTTTGCAGCCCAGATCTGACAGGATTGTGGGTTGATGGAGCTACTTAAGATGGGAGGGGGGGGGTAGGACAAATTTAGGATTGCTTCCAAGTTCAAGGGACAACTCTTTTCTTTAAAAATAGGCTTTATGGCAGGGGTCTTCAAACTTGGCCCTTTGATGACTTGTGGACTTCAACTCCCAGAATTCCTCAGCCAGGCACACGTGCCTGGCTGAGGAATTCTGGGAGTTGAAGTCCACAAGTCATCAAAGGGCCAAGTTTGAAGACCCCTGCTTTATGGGGAGGGAAGCACAGAACAGGCAGAGGGGAAAAACATCCGCAAAAACAACGTCATCTGGAGCGCCTCCAGCTGTCCTATGCCAATTAAGAATAAGATTTCATAATAAAGTCCGCAGGTGTAGACACTTGATATCAAGGAGACAATTTTGCATGGCTTAATTCCAGTGGTGGGATTCAACCGGTTCGCACCACTTCGGCAGAACCGGTAGCTAATTTTTGGTTGCCCAGGCCCAGAATGGACTTCTGGAAGGGATAGATAGATAGATAGATAGATAGATAGATAGATAGATAGATAGATAGATAGATAGATAGATAGATAGATAGATAGATAGATAGATAGATAGATAGATAGATAGATAGATAGATAGATAGATAGATAGATAGATAGATAGATGATAGATAGATAGATAGATAGATAGATAGATAGATAGATAGATAGATAGATAGATA